GAGGAGAGGGGCCGGCCTGGGGAACCGAGGGAGACTCGCCGCCCAGGAGGGGAAGGCGAGAGAGAGAGAGCGCGCTTTTGGAGACTTTTGGAAAAGGCCCGGTCGCCTCCCCACCCGGCTCAGCCACCAGGCATGGGCACTGTGGCCCGCCACATACGCACACACACACACACACACGCACGCACGCACAAACTTTAAAAAAAGGAAATGGGAAAAAAAGGAAAGGAAAAGAAAAAACGTGATGGCACCAAGAAAGAAAGTTTATATTTTGTTTTAAAATGAAATAAAATAGAGTACAGTGACTAGGACCAGGAGGTGTGTCCTGAGTTTTCTGTAGCATTGATCAGTAGGTTCACTTCTAGGTTTCAGAGTCTTCTGAATTCCGCGGGTAAAGCCCCAAGTGCTGTGCCCTCGTTAGGGCTCTTAGGCAGAGTGAAGAGTTAGCAAAGGAGGGTAAAACAGGGATTGAAGAGGGAGGACGTTCCTTTTTGAGACTAAACCTCGAAGGATCCCACTATCCATAGGGACATTGCTGCACCTCAGGCAGCAAAATCTTTGGGGCCACTTCCTGAGTTGAAGTATAATTCATCTGGTGGCTGTAGATTTTTCGTGCTGTGTGGCCGTGGTCTTGAACACGGCCAGACAGCTCGAAAAACCTACCGCGGCCAGACACCTCGAAAAACCTACAACAGACATCGGATCCTGGCCAGGAAAGCCTTCGAGAATAGAATACATTTGCCTGCTCTGTAGTTTTTTTTCTTTTTTGTTAAGGAATGAAGTGTAAACCGGCATCCTCCTCTGATTTCTTCAACTCCTCCCTGCCCTTTTGGGCTGGATAGGGTTGGGAGTACAGCTTTATATCAAGTGAGGTAGATGTCCAGTCATGGGCAAACTCCTTATCTACATAACTCATTCTTGCGTAAAAGGAGTGGCAGCAATTCTGAAGGTCTGCAGACTGGTTTCCACATCCTATCTGAAAATGCTGAGGACTCAAAAATGTGAAACATCTGCACTGCCCCAGTCCTCTCATCACTCCCTTGCAGCACCCCGGGGGACTTTAAAAGCAGGTTAGCTCATCATGAGGGACGTGGTGGCGCTGCGGGTTAAACCGCAGAAGCCTCTGTGTGTTGCAAGGTCGGAAGACCAGCTGTCGTAAGATTGAATCCACGCGACAGAGGGAGCTCCCGTCGCTTGTCCCAGCTCTTGCCAACCTAGCAGTTCAAAAGCATGTAAAATGCGAGTAGATAAATAGGTACCACCTCGGTGGGAAGGTAACAGCGTTCCGTGTCTAGCCGTGCTGGCCACCTGACCCCAGAAACTGTCTTTGGACAAATGCTGGCTCTACGGCTTGGAGATGGGGATAAGCACCGCCCCCTAGAGTCGGACACTTCTGGACTAAATGTCAAGGGGAACCTTTACCTTTACTCATCACATTATCATTTGTTTAGGGGGAACTTTAAGCTACTGACGGATGGTGGCTCCAGTTTCGTGGCAAGCACGGCCTCTGCTTTGGATTTCAGTCTGATTTCAGAGCGATCCAAGATGCTAAACCCATTTGAGGGAGAGGCTCGGCATCAGGGGTAACTCATATAACCGGCATCAGATCTGCCGCTCCTGGGGGACTGGCATCCCCAGCAGCTTCCATTGCTTAAGGAGGGAAATCACAGTAACACCACCCCTACACAGAGAACTCTACACGGCAACATGAATCAAAGATAAAGTAAAGTTGTTCTGTGCATTACAATGCATCCTATGGTAATGGGGTATTCTGGGTGCTGTGAAAACAGGTGGTATCAATCTTTTTTCTTGTGTTTTTCTGTGCAATTTGATGGAATGGGCTAGATGTTTTTTTGGGGGGTCTGTCCCTGCCTATGATAGATTTGGGGTTGGCATGTGGCTCTTGGACCCATAGAAGTGGCCTGTTCTGAAACATCTGGGTATTCCTCCAACTCAGAGTGCCTAGGTGTTTCCATTATCAGGGTGTTGCTACACCATCATCTGCCGCACCCAGAAGTTTTCCTGCTCCCCCGAAGCTGAGAAACAAACCTTATAGTAGGTGAGGACAAATGGATTTTTACAGCAGCAAGATGTTGTGAGCGGCCTCTGTTGTAATACGGCCAAAGTGTTTTCAGTTTGCTTTGCTCTGAATGGGCAACTGAGACCTTCGATGCAGGATGCTATGGAAAGGATGAAAGCATTGGGAATATGGATTGATTGCCATGTGTTAGAAACTGATCGGCGAAGAAGGGTTAAGAACGTTTTTAATGCAGAAAGCGGGAATGTTTCTGGCACATAATGGGAAATTCAAAGTGTAGATGGTTATAAGTGAACATTCATGGTAAAATAAATGGGAAAAGAAATGTCGGAAGTAGAAGGACCTCAAAATAGCCATGACGCTCTTTAACCACAGACAGGAGAGGGATGAGAAATAGAAGCAGCAGGTTAACAATGCTATAATCTATAATCTTGGAACTGCAGAGCTGGAAAGGACCCTAGAATCATCAAGTCAACCTGGTGTGAAGGAAGCCCAGTGGGAAATCAAACTCCCAACTTCTGGCTCCATAACCAGAAGCCTAAACCACTGAGCTATCCAGCAGTTCTCCTGATAGACATGGAAATTGACACAACTGATTGGGAGATAGAAGCCAACACTTGAGGACTCTGCTGATGGAGTTTTAAAGGGTTCCTGCCCTTTAAAATTTTCCATGGAACTACTGGCTGATAGTTACCTTTGGAAGAAATTCTGGAGACATTTGTGTTACACATGCGGGTGTTGGGTTAAGGAAATCAGCAGATACTGACAAAGCTTAGTTCATCTGGTTTTATTCCCTTCTCTTTGCACTCAACTCTTCTTGTTTTTAAAACAAACAATGTTTCGGGCTTGTTCTGGCTGCCCTAAGAAACCTTAAGGATGTGAGAACAGCTGTGATGGGGAGGACAAAGACCTGTTAGAGGCAGCGTTCTGTTTGTACAGTGGCCCAACAGATGCCTCGAGGAGGCTCAGAGGCAAGCCTTCACTGATGATAGTAACACCCTCCTGCTCCCATCCACTAGTATCAATCTGGAGCCAATAAACTGTATGGTTATGAGCCTTAAACAGTGTGGGGACTCAGTACATGGCAGAGCAGCTATGTCTAATAGGAACTGCCCATCCTTCTTAGGCTGGACCACTGAGGGTGTGAACCCCGAAGGAGGCCCACAAAGAACTTTGCCTTCCATTGGAAATTCACTGGGACCCCCCCACCCTCTGAAATACATGAACACCTTCTATTTTTGGAAAAACCTTTCCAAACAGTCCATCTGAACAGCGGCAGAAAGTTTCAGCCCATAATTGTTAATTGCCACTTGTTTTTAAACGTAATGTCAATCTAACGTTGACTTCACTTTAATTACGTTGGGACGTATAGAAAATGAACAAACGAACAAATGAGCAAACAAATAGTACTCCTTGATAGCCTTATATTGTATGCCTTTGTTTATCCCTTTCTCAACCTGTCCAGGTTGGTGGCCATCATCCCATCCTATGGAAGCAAATTTCACAGTATAATCACTTCAATGTATTCTGGAAGGCTTTCACGGCCGGGATCTGATGGTTGTTGTGGGTTTTTCGGGCTCTTTGGCTGTGACCGTGTAATCACTTCACTGAATGATCCTAGGATCTGTATTATAAGAAAGAGAACCCTATCAACTTTTCCCACACCACATTGCCTATCTCTGTGTTTCCTGAACCATATATAATATCTC